CTGTTCTTTTGACTTTGCCTGCCAGCAGAGGCAAAGGAATACCGGAGGTAACAGGACGCCTCGCTCCACGCCACCTTACTGGCAGTAATCACAGGCTCATGTTGTGCAAAGACTAATTTAGTGGGGAGACATCACAGAGTACAAGGTGTGCTCGGTCTGTGATTTTTTTCTGCGTGTGAGTGTGTGTAATAACATATACTAGGTGTAGCCACACAGTGCATGTTGCGAAATAGTCAGTCTATTTTGTGAAGTGTTTTTTCACGACAAGCATATATTCACACAAGGACAAAAGCTGTGAGGAAGGTTCTCCACAATAACACTTTGTTTATTCTCGCTGCCTTCACTGGGTTAGAATTAGAAGTCAGATGGTTTATATTATGGGCACATACGTTACAGGGTTAGAGGTTATAGTGAATTAATGAAAACCCCATTAAACCACACGCAAAGGCAGTGACTCAACAAGAGACCTGTGGCGACTGGGTTTGGTTGTACAAGTTTAGGGAGCTCCATGGAAAGTGACACTTTGGTCATATACATTTTTCATCCACTCAAATGTTCCTCAAAATCCACTCACTGGATGATTCTTGCACTGTGACAGGAAGCATTTAAAGCAGCTAATCCCTCAGGTAAGATCATTGTGGTTTGGTGCTTTTAACAATGAAAGTCTGGTTTCATGTTAAGAATCAGCTCTGGAGACTGATCACTGTTATCAATGCACGTGATGGGGCAACACCCAAACCCTTTGCACCTCTTCCACTGAGCATCTGTAACTTGTCAAATGAATCCATCATCAAGGTCCATCACAGGGATGTGTTCTGGACCTGGGCAGATTAATGGTGAAATTTATAACACACAGCTCCAGGTGGAAACAATGAATCGGCCTTTATCTATCTACAAGTTCCTGAAATCTCTGTGTGTCTGTATGTGGTTCACTTATCTTGAGAACTGTTCGTCGCATCGCCTTCACACTTGGCATGTGTATCGGTAAAGGCCGAAGGAAGTGCAGTGTCGAATGGTGCTATTTGGATGTGTGATACATTCAATATTTATTAACTTTGAATAAACAGGTGACAAGCGGTGGTGGCTGGGACTCATTCATGGAAGAAATGTTCATGACAAAAACACATTCACAACAACCGTTTGCCTACAAAACAAGTGTAGAAATGAAAGACATACTGCACACTTGTAAACTAAATTATATGACTGTTCTTTGATCAAATGAACTAACGCTGGCTTTAATAACCCATTCATCATCACATTTATAAATAAAATCTACATTCATGAGTTAAACATGTGACATTTTATAATCTATCTACCTCTAATCAAAGGTAGGCAGCCCTTGAATGAGAATCTGAAAAACACGCTTATTTTCAAATCGAAGTTGCAACTAAAGTATTAAACCACCACGTCGTCTACCATTGAGAGACGTCCCCCATCCTCCCCTGCCCCTCAACTGTCTAACACACACAATGACTTTGAGACCACTGTACTCCTCAGACGCAGTTCAGGCCCAGCTGTCTTGGCACCGGCCACCTGTGCCGGCAGTTCAAATGGCCAGGGACGTCAGGAAGCTTCTGAGACGAGAAGCCTATATTCCATACCACGATAGAAAAGTGTCTGAGCTGCTACTACTCAGAGAATGTCGATAAGCTTTAACATGCTAATTGGTATCTGATTTGTGTTTGTCCATGTGTGTAGGTGTGTTTGTGAGTGTGTGTGTCACTCAAAGTGCGTGAGACAAAACTAAGGGGGGAAGTTAGTTTTGGAAGTTTCTGCTTCAGCCTCCCTGTACATGCAACAGTGTGGTTTCTATTCAGCTGCTCACTCACAAGTGTCTGTGTATAGGTCAGAGTGTATAATGGGGGTGAGGTATGTGTGGTGGGGGTGGAGCAGGTTACCCAAACGTGCACTTACTTAAAGTGTCTATTAATACTCAACTGTGAGACCTGACTTACTAATTCTCACTGACTGTGGAAAGGCAGCAGACTACAGCGTGTAGCTGTGATGGCGACGATGATGAAATTCCTGCAAAGGAAGCTGTGTGGGACCTGACCCTAGGTCAGCCTTAATCAGACGTGCCATTTACAGCTTTAGCAGCTGAGCTCAATGACTACTGTGCTCTCACTCAGCTTCTACGTGTCACTGATTAGAGTTTCATTAAAAAAGTAATATGTGCAGCAGGCTTCTCATTATGAACAATGAAATTGCTGCTGTGCGGTTCATAACAAAATATATTTCCATGGAGAAATGTGACAGAGGCCGTTGAAAGGGAAGGCAATAGCAGGCTGGCAGCAGAGCAGAGTAAACATTGCTGCTGATGAGCTGAGAGGTTTCCATCAGCAGAGCTGTGATCAGAGCCATGTTGCTGAGTGCCTGCAAACGTGCGTCACTGCATGAGGACACGTGCATCTGTGCCTTGATCTGGGTGTCAGCCAGAGGGATTAGAAAAAGACAAATGGAGGAAATTGAATCTTTCTAGGTAGAGTTAAAGTATGAATAAATCACTTACTGGTACAATGCATTTAACCTGTTTTTCTAAAGCAGCTTCAGAAGTTTTCGGACTGTGCAAGAGGAAGATTAATACACACGCTTGCAATGCATTCTCTCGCCTTTTCTTCTGATTGTAGATCAAGGGGCGAGGAGAGCTGAAATTGGCGCACTTCGGCAGCGACGAAAGCTATTTCCTCTACACAAGCAAAGGTAAAATACAGAGAGCATTAAAATGATTCACATTAATGTTTAGGAGCCTGTGGTGGGTTCTATTTTAGCATCTCAAGGAAAGATGATATCTGGAGGAAAGGTGACTAGTCAACACTGACTGTCATTGAGCCGCCTCACCAGGGTCACACAGTGCCTGGAATCATTCTTTATGCTTGTTGTAAATGTCTTTCACCCTGCTGCATCACATTAACTTAAATGATGTCTGACAAGCATCTTGTTAAAGCTCTATGGTGGACTGTGCATTAACTGTCCCATGGGAAAGATAACACTTGGTTTATCTGAGTCCTCCTCCTCCATGCTCGGTTCATTGTTGCTTCATTTGGATGTTTAAGCTCTACTGTGCAGAATGTGGCTTGAGTTTGATACTACAGGGTTGAAAAGAGTTTTGTGGAAACCTGAAATCTGAGAGAAAACGTCTGAGGAAGGAAAGCTCTGCAGAATTGTTCGCTCCAGTGTTTTCACAGTGATGAATGCCATTGTCCTCATAAAATGGAATTCCATGCCAGTTATACCGAATTAGCATAGTGCAAGTAAAGAATGCCTGAACAAAATGACGGTGGCGCACGAATGTAAACCCCTTTTTTGTGAATAAAAATACATGCCCATATGTTAAAAAAACATTTTAAGTGATGCATTTCAATCTTGATTTTAATTCTAAACTATAAATAACCACAAACCAACAAAATATTATAAATGATACGAATAATATTGTAATTTAAATCCAATCATACAACTTTGCAACTGAAAAAAACCCTGAATATCTGATTATTTTGCACAAGCTTTTCAATAGTAAAGAGTGTATAAGTGTTTTCTTCAGTTAAGATTCTGTTCTTACCAAAGAACAAATCCCACATAAGAAAGCATTGGTGAATGTCAGAATCTTCTGGTTTTGAGAAATTTCCTCTCAAGTACAGTTGGTGAGTGAAGCTCAATATCTGCATAATTATAGATTTTGGATGTTAAAACATCTTTCATGTTCTCTCTAAAAGATTTCTTCTTTTGAGGAATCCATTATCCATTTTAGCATTGTACTGAACTAGCTTTAACTAAATGACCCATTAGACACAGTATATAAAAATGAATCAAAGACATACAGTGTGTTGCAGCATGAGGAGAAATGAACAAAAATCACATTACAATGCTGTTAACTAAGGGAGAACATGAGCTTTTGAAAATACAGTGTAGAAGACCAGAGGTTGGTCTTTTCCATGACTATGAATCTAAAAAACACATTATATGTCTCAAGAGCCAAATCCTCTGGATGTTGGTTTATAGTTCAGTAATTTGAAGAACTCTGGCTGAACTTTAACTATTTTTCTATTTGGCGAAATGAAGGGCTGATTGAACAGGCTTGTGATTTATGGAATCAACAGCATTTAGAGAAGCTAGAATCAATAAGGCATATTAACATGTGACCCATTCCCCAAAACACTCTGAATGTCCTCAGCTAAATCCCCCCGGGTGGACAATACAGGTTTCTATTCACATGAGACTTTTTTGAAATATATATCATACTCTGCTTTGGTGTGAGGTTTGCCTGAGTGCTGACAGACTGCTTTTACATTTCTTTATTTATTTCCTACAGTTTGCTCAGTGGCACACTTGTGTTAGTAATCTAACATGAGTGTGAAAAGCTTCCAGGTTTGATCTGAGAAGTACCGATTTATATAAAAAACAGGCCAGACTAAGAATCATGTGGTGTCTGTTAAAGATGCTGAAAAGTACACTGAAATCTAATAATACAAATCTAATGATAAAAAGCTGGAAATGTGCAGAGTTTAAAGAAATAAAAGGTGTGCACCATGATCATATTTTTACTCTTTAAAATCTGTAGATTTTTTAAATGTAATTCTCTTCAATCATCTTTTTATGAATGATGATTCGTCTATTGTTTCCCTCTTTCATTGTGATTTAATTTTCCGCTCTCTGAAGCACTTGGTAAATCATTCTTGAACAGAACAGATGGGTTCTTCATCTAAGTAGCTGTGCTAGCTGAAGTACAAATGGGAAATGAACGCTGGAGTGAGGCCTCATTTAAATCTAATCGTTCTTTTCTCCTGTCCAACCCGCAGCGTTTGCTTTTCAGAGCAGAGGGACCGTAAATCCCCTATGTGCCTTCAATTCTTTCACCACAAAGCAGAAAAAGCTTCCGTGCTCTCTCCCCGCACTCTTTCATTTAAACTGAACACAAACAATTCCTTCCCACATTTGCCACCAATTCAAGAGTAATTAACTATGCTTGTTGACTATCTGAATGGCTGATCCGCATGGAGACTCACATCTTTTTGAAGTCGCACACAACGTATTCGGGCCAGTCGATGAAGCACACCACCCGACCGGGGAGCTGGTCCATGTTGGAGTAGTAGTACTGGGGGAAGGCCAGGAGCAGAGCCAGCATCCAGATCACACCCACCACCACTTTGGTCTCTGTGGATGACATGCGCTGCTGCAGGGGGTGGATGATGGCCATGTACCTGCGAAGGGGAGAACGAGAGAAAGGAGTCAGTGATGCTGTGAAACACTTGAGGGGTGTGCCACTGTTTTCAGGGCTGACAAGAATGTATCATATAATCTCCATTTAAGAGATACTACTTCTTTACATGGTCTAAAGTTTGTTTGGAGTGAACTGTTCTCTTATCCTGTGTTAACGCTCTGGAGCTACTTCAGAATAATTCCTTGTCACACTAACAGTCCCCCTCAAACCTTTTATTGTTTTTGTGCTGGATGTTAGAGAACTTTGTGTTTATCCTACCTTGGTTATCCACAAGAAAGATTCTATCGTAAATAATATTCATAAAATTAAAATAAGTTTGTGTTATTACTGTTTGCGTGTTCATTTTTCGTATGTTACAGGTCATCTTATTCAGTTATCGTCACAATCGTCAGACCCAACTTCACAGCTTTTTAAAATAAAAGGTCTGTAATTTAGCTCGATGTAAGGCATTAAAGTCACACTACATATGATGAGCTTTTACTTTGAAGACAAATTGTTAAACAGGAAGTGATTCTACAAATGCTTTTGCCATGACAGAGATCAGCACTTCTCACGTCTCAGTCCAATATGGTGAAATAAAAATAATCAAACAAACAAAATGATCTGGCCGGGATTTTGATGATCCAGTTACCGACCACAGCTGTAATTCATCCAATGATGTAGAAGAACACATAGCCAACACAGCCTGCAGACTGGTGGCACGCTGACTAAATTGTCACTGTACATTCTTGGGCCATTAACAATACACATGACAAGTGTGAAGCTGATAAATTGAAAGGTTCATGAGATATGCCTTCCACATACACACAGACAGACATAGAGGAAGCACTGAGCTAATAAACATCATTTCTTGGAGACAGGGTTGCCAAACAAATTTGTGTGCTCACATCTGTGGGTTTGATCCCTCAGGCTTTCAGTGACTGCAAATTATTTGACACCAAATATTGAATATGATGATGTGTGAATTCATACTACCATTTGCAATTCTTTGTTGTCTCCTGATTGAGAAGTAAATGGAGCACACACACACACACACATTGGAGGCTTCATTCACTGAATGTGGTTACGCCACGCGTTGATGAACTACATTGTGTATCCATGGCTTTGCTTTGCGTTGCTTGCAACAGGCACCAGCCAATCAAATTGAGTTTAAACAAATAGTCAAGCACAGGCGCTTGCCAATCAAATTATGTTTATGCAAATACAGGTCAAAAAGAGCCTGGAGAGAGGAGTCAGAGGCAGCTGGTGAACCTGGTGTGCATTCATCTGGTGGTGGAGTTCATTTCCCCTTGCACATTCCTGAGCAGGAAACTGTGATTGGTTGTTGTCGTTGTGATGAATGTGCCAGCACCAAGTGTCAGTCCTGCCCACCGTCTTGCATTAAAGCGATGCATACCTGCATGTGCTCAGTAAGGACAGAGGATGTTGGATGCTGTTCACAATGTTAAGCCCCTTCAGACAATTGTTTGCTGAGGCTATAAATAAAACTGGAATTTCTTGCCTGAGGAGATAAGACTTGCCATCTGTTTAATATCTTTGCTTAAAATCTCTGCTTATTTCTTCCTGAAAGCATTTGGATGCCTGAATATAACTGGTTTTAATGGAAACCATGCTTTTTTCAATATTTTCTTTTATGTTATCTTTCTTATCTTTGTTTTGTATTGTTTGGTTCTATGTTGTTTTATTTCCATGTATCTTTGTGTAGATAAGTGCTGTACAAATAAAGATTTTATTATTCTTATTACTAGTGGAGTGCCCCTGAGTACCTGTTTGTTTGTCCTGTGTTAAAGCTCCGGAGTTACTTTAGAATTATTCTTTTTCATTAGTGAGTCCTCCTCAAACAGTTCTACAATGTATTGTCACTTTTTATTATTTGTGTGCAGAGCTGAGGGAAGTTAGAAAACCTTGTGTTCTATCTACAATGAAAATGTTTTTCATTTAAATTACTGTTCAGAGCAACAAAATGACATATTTTACTTTTTAGACAAATACCTAAAGAGGAATTGATTCTATGAATGTTGCTGCCATGACAGATAAGCACCTGCGACACCAGTCAATGTATGTGTCAGTCTGATGTGGTGAAATATAAATAATGTAATTATCAAAGTAGTCGATTGGTTATTTTGCAGAGGGCCAGGAGTTATACACATGCCAAGTGTGAGGCCAATATAAACAGAAATATAATTCAGTTCATCACAAAAGGGCATTTTAAGCTGTATGATGGTTGCTAACTGCCCGCAGTTTACTTCCCTTTTAATGCATAAGGACTGCACTGATTCATATCTGTTATGTAGTAGTTATGATTATAGTTATTTAAGAAAAAAGACATCAGATTAGAAAAACCTGTTCAGCATCAATTAAGTACAACGATTATACTGACAAACACAAGCACACTGTATCATAATATAAATCTTCAGTTGGTTGTTCATTGTTTAAAGAGTAGATGATTCAATGTCCAGTGTGATCACAGGCTATTTTGGCCCTTATTGTAGGCAAAGTGTGAAAATAATGCTCATTTGTGTACGAGTCATACATTTTAAATAGTGTTCCTGAAGGGTAACTCAACTACACACTGCTACACACACACACTCACACACACCCACGCAGCACCATCTGAAGCATTCAAAAGGAAGTTTACAGGTCAAACTGCACAGTAAGCTTTGATATTCAGTCGCGAAAAATAAATCCTTTTCTTTTTCTTTATATATGTTTTTCTTTTTCAATGGGTGTGTGACCATGAAGCAATGCTCTCTGCAGATTTAAGTTATTGAAGAGTGTCTGCCATGACGCAGAATTCTAGTCAAATGATTCCTCTCAGCGCCAGAGCCATCTTTTCACATTGTTATAATCATGCTCATATAATCAGAGAGCCAACGGAGCACATGAATGACTGAAAACCACCTCATACAGGAAAATGGTTTAAAACCCTCGAGATGACAGATTTTATTCCCCTCAGTAAAAATACAATACTTGAGTTTGTGAAGAGTTCTTTTTTTCCTCCGCAAAGAGGTGATCAGATATTTGTCTGCATTAACTTTAATCAAATTACTTTTGATTTTACAATTTACAAAAAGCAAAATATAACTATGCAAACTATTTTATAGCCTATCATTTGGTGTGTATGCTCTGGAAACCAGTACTGTACAGTAGAGCAGTAACATCAGTGTTATACATTTTTTTTGTTTCCTTTTAATCAAAGCTCTCCAGTAAAATGCAATCCTGAGCTAAAGAGGTCTAATTAAAGGCTTAATCCCACTAATAACCCAAATGAATGTGCTAAATAGACTAATTATATCAGCGAGAGGAGGAGGTCTTTGAAATCAAACGCTCCCAGTGGTCTGCTGAAAATGAGAGATCACAGTCTCCGCTTTACTTTGGCTCAGCTTCAAACGGTGCTGACAGTCACGCGGCTCCGTTTCTTGATGTAGGTGAGTCACAGTCGGGCTGTTGATGTCAGAATCAAACACACACCTGCAGAGAACATAGGCCTGCCCACTTGACAGCCACAGTTCTACATCACTGGCAAGCAAGATCTGGGCTCAGGCTGAATACAAACATTTAGTCATTAGAATGTGCAATTAACCTGCCATGGTTCCAAACTGCTGTTTATCACGAATGATTAAAGAGACTTTCATGTGGCTTATAATGTCATTTTAAAAAGTGTTATTCAGACAAGATATGTTAATAGAGTGTCTGTACATATGGTCATATGTTTTTAATTTTCATTAAGAAAATATGTTTTGATTAAAACAATGTTCAGTATTTCACTAAACTGAATTTGATCTAATCTGAATCTAGAATCCAAAT